GGAACAGCCTTGGTTTGAAGAGACGAGGAGGCCTGAGGGGTGGACAGGTATGGAGGAGCAGTGGAAATGAGACAGGAGGAGAGGGCATCACATCACACAAGGTCTTAAGACCAAAGGTGAATTTGGTTTCATTCTAAGTACAAATGAGGAGTGACAGAGGTATGAACAGCGAAGTGACATGACTTATTGGTTTAAACAGTGACAGTCGGATCTATGTGGAGACTAAAGGGAGAAACACGGAATTGGGTGGCAGAGCCAGGTTCATGAAGGCAAGAAGTGTATGGTCATTCAAGCCAAGGTGGCAGCATGTGTAGTGGGACCAGGCCCCAGGGCACAGTGTTGGGATATAAAACAATGCATGCCCCTGACTCAGAGGAATAAACCAGCTTGTGTGTGTGTTTTGTGTGTTGTGTGTGTGTGTGTGCTGTGTTGTGTGTCTTGAGAACGGAGAAGAGACTTGTTCTTTTAATTTTTTTTTATTTGGCATATATGGGGGTACAGATTTTAAGGTTTCAATAAATGCCATTTCCCCCCTCCCCCCAAAGTCTGAGTCTCCATCAGGACCATCCCCAGGATGGTGCACATCTCCACTCATTTTGTATGTATGATACCCGTCCCCTCCCCCATCTCCCTCCTCCCAATACCCTATTACTGTAGCAACTCTATGTATCCACTTAGTACTACTCAGTTAACTACAGTTTGCTGGGAGAATATATCTTGTGTTGTTTTGTCCATTCTTTTGTGGATTACTCACGTTAGTAGTATGGGTTTCCAGTTTTCTTAAACCAGGAAATATAATGATGGTATATCACATTGTTTCTTAGAGGTGAATAGTACTCCATTGCGTATAGATTAATTAACCACATTTATTAATCCATTCTTGGAATTGATGGCACTTGGGCTGTTTCCACAGCCCTTGCCACAATTATGATTGTGTGCTATAAACATTCGAGTGAGGTGTCTTTTTTGGTTAGAGTGTCACTGGATTCATTTTGGGTAGACTTGCCAGCAATTGCGGATTGCTGGATCAAATGGGTAGATTCATTGTATCGCTTTAAGGTAGTTCTCCCATACTTTGCTTTCCAATGACGGTTGATTATTCAGTTCTCTTAGTCTCTCTATGACAAGCAGTAAGTTCAGGAGGTGGTTCCTCTGTCCTTCAGCAGACCAGACTGTCCGGTTAGAGCATTTAATTGTTTGCGAGTGATTTTTTGATATAAGGCATTCCTCAACTGTGGGTTATTGTGAATTGAAGTGTATTTCTTAACTCATTGTGTTTTGATTTGCATATTCCTAGGATTATGATTAGAGAGTTGAGCTATCGTTTTTATTGTCTATATGTTTGTTATGAGACACTCTACTTCTTTTTTGTGTCTCTTTTGAAATAAAATTTCTTCAGAAGTCCTGTTGCTGCCACTTTATTTGTAATGTGTTGTTATTTGATTTTTTCTCCTAATTTCGTAGAGGTTGTCTAAGTTGTGAGTGATTCTAGTTATCAGTCCGTTGTCGGATGCAGGTAGGATGCAATAAATTTTCACCGGATTTCTGGTAGGTTTGTCTGGTTTACACTTTCTCATGGATTCTGTGTGTTCGTTGCGAAGAAATGTGTCTGTGGTGTAATGATTAATTGTGTGCCCATTTATTTTTTTTGTTGCTGCTGGTGATTGCCTTGTGGGGAGCTTCATATGGTAGCTAAACTCAGTGTGCTCTTGTGGTGGACTAGAGTAGAGGCTGAGGCCGGCATTACTTGTAGGAGGCTCGTTTCCAACTTAATTGCAATGTACTTTCTTAGATTTCTAATATTCATAGATTGAACCCTCACACACACACACACACACACACACACACACACACAGACTGGTTATTCCTTGAGGTCAGGGGCCATGCATTGTTTTAGTATCCCAACCTGTGCCCTGGGGCCTGGTCCCACTACACTGCTGCCACCTGGCTTGATAGACCATCACTTCTTGCCTTCTGAACTGGTCTGCCACCATTGTGTTTCTCCACTTTAGTCTCCACATAGCATCCGAGTGTCACTTTAAAACATAAGTCATGTCACTTCGCTGTTCAGTACCCTCTGGTCCCTCCTCATTTGTACTTAGAATGAAATCCAAACTTCCTACCTTGTCTGTAAGACCTTGTGTGATGTTGATGCCCTTCTCCTCTGTCTCATTTCCTACTGCTCCCCTCACATACCCTGTCCCAGCCACTCAGGCCTCCTCGCTGCTCCTTCAATATGCCAAGGCTGTTCCCATCTCAGGCCTTTAGCTTTGCTGCCTTCCCTGCCTCGCTCGCTCTCCCCTCTAATCTTTGCATAACTGTTTCTTCTTTACATTTGCAACTCAGCTCTTCCTCTGAGGAGTTTTACTTAATCACATAAGCTAAAGTAGGAACCCCTACCATCACATCTCCCTGTTTTATTTCCTTCATACCACTTAATCTAAAATAATTTTACTTACTTTACCTACTCTGTTTCTTCCAACTAAAAATGTTCCTTATATCATTAGTGTCTGAAAGATACCTTGCATGAGTATAGATGAACAGATGAAAGAATAGATAAGTGACTGGGTGACTGGATGGATAGGTGGATAGTTGGGAAGACGAGTGGGTGAATGGAAGGAAGATGGATGGACGTGTGCATAGAAGGATGGGTGACTGCATGGACAGATGGATGTATGGATGGGTGGGTGATGTTTGGGTGGGTAAATGGATGTATGGATAGATGTGTGGATAGACAAGTGGGTGGCTAGATGAGGTGGATGGATATGTCGACAGATGGAAGTATGGGTGGGTGAATGATGGAGCAATAGATGGAGAGATAGATAAAAGGGTGGATGAATGGGTAAATGGGTGGAAGGATGAATGGATGAATAGGGATGTGCGGGAAGATAGGTAAGTGGGTGGAGGAATGGGTGAATGAGTGGATGGGTGGGCAGATGGGTGGATGGAAAGTTGGGGGAAAGATCAGTGATAGATGGATGGAGGATGGATGGGACAGTTCATGAAAGGGTAGATAGGTCAGTGAATGATTGCTAAGCCCTGATGAATGTGTCACATTTTGGTAGGATTTGTCTCTTTGTGGAATAGAGTGGTGTGATCTATTGCTATGAGAGAGGTGAAGGGAATAGGATGAGTATGTGAAGGGGTTTGAGAAAAAGAGTAGTTTATCAAGGATGGGTAGAAGACTTAAGCAGTGTATAAAGCTGAGCTGTTCTGAGAAAACTCCATGTTTCAGGCGTGGAGTGAGGAGCAGTCAGGCAGAGTGGGGGTTCAGAGTTGCCTGGACTTCTTTGGCTACCTACAGGACATGTCACTGACCTCTCACTTATCTTTGCAGTGCGTCTATCACCACCCTTCAATCTCCAGGAGGGTAAAGTGGTCCTCATTGAGAACATGTTCTGTAATTTCTTATATGGTCAAATTGATGGCAAAGGCAATAATTATTCTGTGCATGAAGATATGGTGTGTGCGGGAGACTTCTCGACAGGAAAGTCCATCTGCCAAGTGAGTAAAGCCATTTCTCTTCTTTCCTTGCCTGTTCTCTTGGCCTCAGTCTCCCCAGTGGGGATTGTGTTGCCTCTACTCTCTTTGTGGTAATCCCTGGACTTATCAGAAAGGAAACTCCTGTTTCCTTCCCCTGTGTGTTTTCCCTGGGCTCCATCCCTCAGAAATCTCCCCCAGACTACCCCCATCCAGCATGACCATTTTCTGGAAAGACCCTCAGACAGCATCCATTTTTGTTACATAGTTTAAACATTGTTATTGCAGCATAATGTACATACACAAGAGTACGTAATTTATAAGTGTATAGTTTGATAAACGTTCCCTTGCTGATACCATAGCACTCCAAGGAGCCCTTTGCATGTTCCATTCTCATCACTAATGCCTAAGGGTAACTTCTTAACTTTTAACATCTTAGACTAGATTCTGAATTTTCTATAAATGGAACTTAGAGTTGGCACTCTTTTGTGTCCTAACATTATATTGGTGAGATTCATCCATATGGTTACACATCATTATAGCTTGCTCATCCTCATTGCCCTATTGCATGCCATTGTGTGAATCAAATTCTACCATCAGTTCTACACTGGGGGGATATTTGAGTAGTTTCCAAGTTGGAAGTATTATGAATAGTAGTGCAATGTACATTTTTGTATTTTCTTTGGGACGGAGATGAACACCATGTATTTCATATTCTATTTTCTTAGAAGCCCACAAGTAGAATTCCTGGAGGAAAAGGTGTGTGTGTGTTCAGCTTTGGCAGAAGTTAGCCAAAAGCCCTCCCTCCTGCAGTGGATGAGTTTCTATCCTCATCAACACTTGGCCCTTCCCATCTTTTTTCATTTTGGCCATTTTGGCAAGTGAGTAGTAGTTTATAGTTTTAATTTGCATTTTCTGATGACTAATTAAATTAAATATTTTTTCATATGTTTATTGTTATTGGATATCTTCCGTGAAGTTTTCCTTCAAATTTTTTTTCCCCTCTTATTTTTCTGTTGGGCTGCCTGTCTTTTTCTTCTAGGAGTTCTTTATATATTCTAGATATAAGTTCGCTGTTAGACATATGGATTGTGAAGATCTTTTCTAAACGTTTGTCATATGGAGAAACTGAGGCCCAGAGAGGGGGTGGATGGCCTAAAGTGAGGTAGTACAACCCGGCACAGGTGATCTGACTCCAAGGCCAACCTTGCCTCTACAACATCTCCCACAGTGTCCAGCCCCTTATCTGGCATCTGTGGGCCGAGCTTTTATGTAGATGCCACTGTGGAGCAGAGAGGAAAGTGTTCGGACCCTGGAGTCAGAGACATTGCTCTGCCACATGTGCCTGCCCTGTGACCTTGAATGATCTCTTCACCTTCTGATCCTGGGTCCTCATCCAGTGTGAGGGTTCTGAGGCTTCCTTCATGAATTTGTTGATAGTGTAATGGGTTGAATAGTGTTCCCCCAAATTTATGTGCACTCGGAACCTCAGAATGTGGCCTAATTTAGAAATAGGATCTTTAAGGATGTAATTAGTTGAGAATCTCAAGATGAAAGCATCCTGGATTGAAGCCCTAAATTCAATGACTGGTGTCCTTATAAGAAGAGGAGAGGCCACAGAGACACACAGAAGATGGCCATGTGAAGACAGGGGAGAGTGGGGTGATGCTCCACAGGCCAAGGAATGCCAGGGCCACCAGAAGCTGGAAGAGGTAGGAGGGGTCCCCCCCTACAGCCAGATAGAGTGACCCTGACAACATCTTGATTTTGGACTTCTGGCCTCAAGAACTGAGAGAGAATCAGTTTCTGTTATTTCTAAGCCACCAAGTGTGTGGCAACGTGTTATGGCAAGCACTTGGAGTGAATACACTTAGCTAAGGTCACAGCACTTGCAAAATGACAGATTGAAACTAGAACCAGGTCTCTCCTGCCCTGCAACCTGACTCTTAATCCCCCTAGCCTGTAGGAGGGCTCACTGACAGTGCTGTTTTCATTACTGCCCTGTGAGCTGGCTGAGTCAGAGGGAGGGAGCTTGGCCTGCCTGCCCTCCTGGTGGGAGGTGGCCCCAGGTTGCTTGGTTTCCCATCCACATACTGCTCCTTTCTGGCAGTCTGGCCTGGCCCATCGTCCTCCCAGTCAGCTGCACCCATAGGTGGAGCAAGGAGTCTGCTGGGTGCCAGGGCCTGGTGGGGCTCAGTCACTGAGTCCCCAGTCTAGCTCCCTTCCAGCCTTCTTCTCCAGCTGCCTTCTCTTGCAACGGCCACGCTCATGGAGCCTCAGGACCAGCACCCTTGACTGCCTGCTGGACATCCTGTAGTGCCCCCTTAACCCTGCCCCTCCTGCAGGCCAAGGACACCACTGAGTTGGTGCCTCCTTAGCCTTTCAGTCACCACTGTATGTTTATCAGATGCCATCTAAATTCATCTCCTGCCACTCACCTGCTCTTGTCCCCATTTCCATCCCAGAGCTTTCTTCTCTCCCCCAGACTACCCCATCTTTGCGTGAAGCACCTGGAAACAACTCTGAGGCAAGATGCGGCCATGGGCTGACTCAGTGGTCAGACTGTGGGGCAGGAGAGACCTGGTTCCAGTTTTCCTCTGTCATTTGTATGTGCTGTGACCTTAGCTGGGTTCTCACCTGTGAAATGAGCTTGCTAACAGCCTCTACTTCGCAAGGTTCCTGTAGAAAATTTAGCATCATGCCTGGCTCTTAGCAGGTGCTTAACAAGTGTTGGTTTTCGTGTTCCTGCCCTTGTCTGTCTCTGTCTATCTGAGTTATACTCATTCTTCTGGGCTTGTCTTAGACTTGTCCTTCCACCCAAGGTGGAATTCACCACCACAGCTCCAGCCCCACTTGACATACGTGTGTCTCATGCACGCACATGCACGCACACACACACACACACACACACACACACACACACGGTTTCCTCTGTCTCCACAGTAGTGCAAATTAGTAACACTAATTACTCTATGCACACCTCACTCTGCATAGAGTAATTAGTGTTTGGACTTACTCTGCCACCTCAGAGCTCCCCAAGGGTCTGAGTCCATGGGAGTCCTTCCCCTCTTCCCCAGACCAGCCCAGAATCCAGCATGAGGTTGGCAACCACATGATTCCTTTGTATGAACTAAGGAGGCCTGGAGTGGATGGGACCACTGTCCAGAGAACCAGGCCTCCCACTAGCCTCGAACTGGCTGGGTGAGGGTGCACAGCAGGGGGTGGCAAGGGCACTCAGGGTCGGGGGGCACCAACAGGAAGACCTGAGGCAGCAAAGGCACATTCCCACTCTCAGTAACACCCTGTGTATGAATCACCACAAATTGGTGGCTAAGACCACAGAAATCTATTATCTTACAGTTCTGGAAGTCAAAAGTCTAAAATTAAGATGTCAGCAAGACTGGTTCCTTCTAGAGGCTCTAGGGGAGATTCTGCTTCCTGCCTTTTCCAGCTTCTGGAGGCCACCTGCATTCCATGTCTTGTGGCTTCTTCACCCATCTTCAAAGCACACCAGTATGGCCTCTGCATCTATTGCCACATCTCCTCTGACTCTGATCCTTCTGCCTCCCTCTTTTCCCTATAAGGAACTTTGTACTGACATTAGGCCTAGGTACTCCAAGATAATCCCCCACCTTAAGATTCTCCACTCAACTCCATCTGCAAAGTCCCTTTTGCCACATGAGATAACATATTCACAGCTTCCTGGGATGAGGACATGGACATTTTAGGGGCCACTTTTTGGGCACCACACCATGTCACCCCATGCCTCCCCTCAGGCCTCCACACCACCCCCAGCCCTGCCGTCCCTCTCAGCACACCATCTTGCTGCTTATCTCACTGAGGCGACCAGGTGATAGACTATCGCTCACTCCTCCCGCGCCTGCATCTACCCACCTCAGACCTGCCTGGTCTAGGCCCTCCTTGAGCACCCAGCACCCAGGGCCTTTGCCCTGCTCTCCCCTTCACACCTTCCCCAGAGATACACCGCAGTAATCTCCTCTAGCTGCTGCCCAATTTCTCTGCCGCCCTTCCCCAAAGACTCCTCCTCTCCTTAACCCACGCTGCCCCGCTGTGCTCCCACATGCCACCAGACCCACTTAGCCCGTGGCCTCTGCCTTGCCACAGCCTCTGCTCCCCTGGCGCACCAGCAGCACTGGTCGCCTGGCGCCAGGCCCAGCCACTGCCTACTCTGCTTCTGGCTGCCCCCTCCCCGTCACTAAATGCTGGAGACCTCAGACCTGAGTTCTCAGCCCTCTTCCCTCTCTCTCTGTACCTTCTCCTTGTGGTGAGAAAGGATTAGCTTCCACAAGTCCCTTGGCTCCTTCAAAATAGCATCCCAAACCTCTCTCACCTTCCCTCCTAGGGTCCTTCCTGGTCTCTCTAGCCGGTGCCCAGCCATTGTTCATTCTCCACACAGCACCAGACTGATCTATTTAGACAGGTCATGTGTCCCACCCCCAAAGACATTCCTCCAAACTCCCTCCATGCAGCCCTGGGACCTCCTGTGGCGCCATGCTCCCAACCACTGGGCTCGCCCTTCTGCTTATTTGCACAAACTGTGACCTCTGCTCCTGGACCTTGCAGGGGCAGGTTCTGTTTCCTATCTCCAGGCCCAGCTCAGGAAAGCTTTCTGTGAACACCTTCTACCTTCTGCTTGGTCTGTCTGCTTGTTCACTATGGCTCCTGCCCACCCACCCCAAGGTTGAGACCTTCTATTTGGGCTTCACCTTTTGGCCTATGAATTAGGGGGCTGATCCCCCCATGACAGCATTTCAGGACTCTAGTAACTCCCAGCAACTTTCTAAAGACCCCTGCCTGCTCCCCTAGAGAAGTGGGCTGTCTCCACCAGGCCAGGTATGGGCATTTCCTGAAGATGCTCACCCAAGTAGTGGAGAGAAAACCAAAGGTCCAAATGACAAATGATGGAGGAACCCCCAGGGGAGATGCTCTGTCGCAGCTCAGGGTTTACAAGAAGAGAGGTCTGCACAAAGGTGAGAGCTGGCCTGGCTCTTCTCATAGCCCCAGCCCCTCCTGGGCCCTGTCCATACAGCTGTCCCCTCTGGGCCTTAGGCAGCTTGTTGTCCCACGTGTAGGGCACAGGGGGTGGGGTCCACATGTTGACAGATTCAGATCCATGCTTGTCCACCTTGAGGATCAGCTTAGGAGTGTCTTGGTATTCGACCCAGTGTCCCACCCTGGAGATGTTTGTCTGGTGGGTCTGCAGTGGGACCCTGACTCAGACGGTGGAGGCACAGAGTGTCTTGCCACCTGGTGTCTCTGAGCTGCTCAGTCCCCAATGCCAGCTCCTCTCTCTCTCTTTCCTTAGGGTGATTCCGGGGGGCCCCTGGTCTGCTACGTCCCCAATGCCTGGGTCCTGGTGGGGCTGGCCAGCTGGGGCCTGGACTGCCGGCATCCTGCCTACCCCAGCATCTTTACCAGGGTCACATACTTCGCCAACTGGATCAACGAAATCAAGAGACTCACTCCTCTTCCTGTTACTGTGCCTGCTCCTTCTCTCACCGGCTCTCAGTCCCAGCACCTGAGGGCTGCTGGCCCTCCCGGGCCCAGCACAGCCCTTGTGCCTCCACAGACCTGGCTCCTGCTGCCATTTACCCTCAGGGCCTGAGGGTGACCTCGGAGGCCCTCACACCTCTCTGCCCAGGCCCTAGTTTTCATGCTGAACCACCTCCCTCCAGTCTACCGTCTCTGCATGGTTCCTTCCCGGCTTTTCTGTCCATCAGCTGCCACTCCCTAAACCAAGCCTGGCAAAACCAAACCAAACCAAATAAAAGACCCCCCTGCCCACCTCTACCCCTCACAGCTGTCTTGGCACACCTTCTCCTTAGCCTGCCTGCTCTCCCTTCCAGGGTAGTTGTCTGATGCCCAGGGCAAGGGCATGGGCCCTGCAGGGACTCTTGGCCTCAGGCCCCAGGGCTGGGCGGCACTCCGGGTGCTGAGGAAGCTGGGCTGCCAGCCAGGGGGCAATCAGGCTGTGCCTGCCTTTGCCCGGTCGTTCAGAGGTGAGACTTTGCCACCGGAGTCCACAGTGCGGAAGAGGAAGGGCCTCCTGAAGTGGAAGAACAACACTCCTAGGGTTGGAGGAGGGAGCACTGACTCCCAGCAGAGAGCAAGGGAGGGAGGTCCCTGGAGCGCAGCGTGACTAAGCAGGACCTAGGGACAAAAGACCCAGGTTATGAACAAGGAAGGAGGCTGTGGCCTGTGGCAAGAGGGCTCTCGTGGAGGGCTGGGAAAGTGGATCAGAAGCAGACAGAGTAGCGCCCTGATGCCAGGCTGAGAGCTGAAGTTTAGGCCAGCCATGCTTGGAGCTCTGCTCCTGGGGACAGCTCCCAGCACCTCCTCACTTGCCTGCATAGGCCCTGCTCTCCCCAAGTCTGCAGGACCCTGATCCACTGCCTGCGTGCCCAGCCCCTGACCCCACAAGAAACTGCTCGCTCCCGTCCAAGGCCCCAGACCAAGCCTGCTCTGGCGGTCCACACTCCTCCAGTGGTTAGAGCCTGGTGTCACCTTCTCTGCTTAGCTGGCCCAGGACTTAGTGGCCCAGCAATAAGCCTCAAAGTAGTGTCCTAAGCCATCCCTCCTGCAGATCTTCCAAACACAGAGTCCTTGTGCAGTTAGCAGGACCCCAAGCCACCCAGTGCAGCCCAACCCAGGCTTCAGATACCATGTTAAAACTGGGAGAGCTCCCATTTAGCACATGTCCATATGGACCAACTGCCATTCAAGGAGCCAGTGCACATTCCTTCCAATCCTGGTATTGCCCAAATTTCCTGGGCCCTCACCAGCAGGGAGGCACAGATGGACTCACATCTACATCACCATCAGGGTTTCATTGGTTTAGACCCTCTGCTACTCATGCAGGAACTCTCATCCCCAAATAATCTTGTGAGGCCTTAAGAAAGTGTCTTACCAGTGTCCAATCCTGTAGGGGCATTTCTAGCAGCCCCTGCCTGTAGCCGGAACCCCACCACCAAGGCAGCACGATGCTGGGTTGTTTGCCCACTCCTAGCATCCAGCCCTAGAGCCCAGCAGTCTCTGGAAAGGGGACACCAAGCATTCCCTCTCCTGGTAGCAAGCCCAGTTACAAGGTCTCACAGCAGGTTTCTCAGGACTCTGGGATGTCAGTGAGAGACAACTTGGGTTCCCCACATGTTCTCCACAAGCTCAGGGAAGCCTGAGCAGTTCCGTTTGGGATTAACCACTCCATTGGCCCTAGAGCCGCTGTTCTCCCAACTGTGGCAGCCACAGGCTGGCTGTGCTCTGGGGCCTGGCTGTCGTATACCCTATTCCAGAAGTTAAGTGACTTCCTATCCCCCGTATGTTCTCAGACCTCTAAATCAAAGGGTTCCAATACATACCTAGTCCACACAACAGATCAACCAAGGTCAGCTCCTGTACAGCCAGTTTCCCCATTACCTGAAACAAACTTAAGTGCTCAGTATTCTTATCCTGGTTTGGTTTCTTTTCAAGATAAACTGAAGCCCATTAGGGTAGCTTTTCAGAGATGGTGCAGGTAATAAGTAGTGGAGCAGAAATTCAAACCCAGATCTCTCTCTCAAGAGCCCAAATGTCATTGTTCCTCCTGCTCCCACAGCCTACACCCAGATGCCAGTTATCCAAGCCTCAGGCCCCTGGGAGAGCCTTAATCTGACCTGTCCTGAGATTGAGCTCCAGACCCTCATTCCTGAAGAGAGAGACCTGGTTGGGTACTGGGGGGCCTGTAGACATCATTGGACACCCTCCCCATTGGTGCAGTGGCATGGGCTGCTGATCTTGTGGCCAGCCATCCCCAGAAAAGCTATGGAAGTAAAAAGAGAAGAACCAAGATCAATTAAAGACTTCCAGTTTCCAGGCTGAAGCATAAGGAGCTTCAAGGTCATCACTCCCATTCTCAAAACAAGAAAATAGCTGAAAAAATGGTAAATTATCTCTTAGATCTATCAGAGAATTGAGGCCACGAGGCAAACTGCTGCACTCAGACTTGGATACAGGCAGGCACAGAGAAACACAGCTTGCCTGAAGGGAAGTTCAGGAGTAGCAGCTGGCCACTGGAGCCACTGTTAGGGTAGGAAAACCTGAACTGTAATTTACAAAGTGCAGGGGCATCCATATAGATGAGCTTGAGAGTTAAAAACTTCAGGGCCAGCCTTTGGGGGAGTGGCTCAAACTTTCATTAGTTTTACCTTTTATGGTCTTACCTGGTTCTTAGGGTATAGATCAGAGAAAAATCACTTCCTGGTTTTGACGGGGTGGGGAAAAGTAACCATTTTGAAATATGACCAGAACATTAGTTTTACTCTGTGAAAGTCTGCCCTTAAGAGAAACTGTTAATATTTTACCAGAGCCTAATTTGTTGGGGTTTTACCACAGCCTACTGATTTGGGGAAAGGGAAGTACCAAACTCCAGCCCCTTTTTGCCTTCTTGCTCCCCTAGGGGCGTGGGTGGGTACTGCTGAGAAGCATGTGTGAAGGTCACAGCCCAGGGGCACAGGCTCACTCTAAGACTGAGACCTAATCATGGAACCGTGGAACACTTTCCCTCCCACATACACACCTCTCTACCACATCAATAGGGCTCCTATGTAGTAAGTAACAAGGATTACAATGGAAGGAACTGCATATCTCAGCCCTTGTTTAATAAGGAGTCTCTAGGGAAACTCAAAGGCAACAAGGGAGATAAAAATTAGAGGAAATGTAGCCTTTAACACTTACAGCAACACCAAATAGTAAAGGTGGCCTAACTACCAGCCATATAAACATAGAACCTTATACTAAAGATCTGTTTTCCTCTGTTCATCTAGCCCAGTATATCATGTCTAGCTTTCAACCAAAAATTACAAGGCATACTAAAATTAAAAAATACAAACAAACAGTTTGAAACGACAGAGCAAACATCAGAACCAGACTTAGATATGGCAGAGATTTTGGAGTCTTCAGGCCAAGAATCTAAAATAACTATGATTAATATGGTAAGGGCTATAATGAAAAAAAAATGGACAACATGCAAAAAAAAAAAAAAAAGATGGATAATACAAGCAGAGAGATGGACACCCTAGGAAAGAAGCAAAAGGTAATGCTAGAAATCAAAAGCACTGTCACAGAAATAAAGAATGTCTTTGATGAGCTTATCAATAAACTGGATATCACCAAGGAAAAAAATCAGTGATTTTGAAGATATGTCAATAGGAACTTCCAAAAGTAACATGAAAACAGAAAAAAGAATGTCAATAATAAAACAGATTGTCCAAGAACTGTCAGATAATTACAAAAGATGTGACATGCATGTAATGAAAATATTAGAAAAGAAGAAAGAAAAAAAAGCAAGAAGATATATTTGAGACAATAATGACTAAGAATTTTCCAAAAGTCATCACAGCAACAAAACCACAGATCTAGAAGGCTCAGAAAACACAAAATGGGATAAATACCAAAAAATTACACCTAAGCATGTCATATTCATTCACACTGCAGAAAATCAAAGAGAGAAAATCTTGAACAAAACCAGAGGAAAAAAACACCTTACCTATACAAGAAGAAAGATAAGAAAGACATCACACTTCTCTTCAGAAACTATGCAAGCAAGAAGAGGGTGAAATGCAATATTAAAAGTGTTGCTAGAAAAAAATCCACCAACCTAGAATTCTATATCCAGTGAAATTATCCTAGATAAATGAAAGATAAAGATTTTCTGAGCCAAATAAAATTTGAGAGAAATTTTAACCAGTAGACTTGCTTTGAAAAAAATGTTTAGAAAAAGTTCTTCAGAGAGAAAAAAGAACATTTGAGAAGTAATAAGTGAAGATAAAATAAAAACTTTCAGTTTTTTATTCGTAATTGATCTAACAGATAGCAATTTGTTCAAAATAATAACAGTAACAATGTACTCAGTGACTAAAACTTATGGATAAGTGAAATGAATGACAGCAATATTATAGGAACAGGAGGGAGGAATTGGGAATATTCTATTATAAGGCACTTGCACTACCCATGAAGCAATATAGTGTTATTTGAAATTGGACTTGGATTAATTGTAAATGTATAATGCAAACTCAAGGGCATTCTCTAAAACTGTAAAAAGTAAAAAAATATAACTGATATATTAAGAGAAAGGGTAAAATGAAATAATAAAATGTTAAACTAAAATCACAGAAGGCAGAAATATAGTGGAAGACAAAAGTAAAAACAAGGGCAAAATATAGAAAACAGTAACAAATGTATATTTAATCTATCAATAATTACCCATCAATATGCAACATCAATGGTTTAAATATACCAATTAAAAGATAAAGTGTCAAAGTGGATTAAAAAGCCCTAACTATATATTGTCTGCAAGAATTCCACTTTAAAGAGACCCCAATCCCCAAGCTGCACTGCATTAAACCCAACTCACTAAGACAGAAATTGTTGTATATAGCCTCCATGGCTAAAAATATTTCAGAAGCATTAAAAATAAATGAATTGAAGTATATAATTTCTTACCACGTGGGTAGAAGAGTCAACTTGCTGATTTTTTTTTTGGATCTGTTTGTTTAATTTTTTATTTTGAAATAATTATGCATTCACAAGAAGTTGCAAAGATGGTACATTCTGTATCTTTCACCTAGGTCCCTACCATGGTTGTAGTTTACATAATTATAGAAAATATCAAAACCAGGATATTGACCTTGGTGCAGTATGTGTGTGTAGAGTTCTGAGTCATTTATTTTATCACATGTAAACATTAGGGTAACCACTACTGCAATCCAGATAGAGAACTATTCCATCCTCACAAACATCCTCATGTTGCCCCTCTGTGGTCAC